TTAGTCTGTTCAAATTTTCTATTTCTTCATAATTCAATCTTGGTAGGTGGTAGGTTGTACGTATCCAGGAATTTATCCACTTCCTCTATGTTATCCAATTTGTTGGTGTATAATTGTTCGTAAATCTATGATCTTTTGTAATTTCTGTGGTATCAGTTATAATGTCTCCTTTTTCATGTGATTTTCAGTTTCTCTCTTTTTCTTAGCCTAGCTAAATATTTGTCAATTCTATTTTTTCAAAAAAACCAACTCTGTTTTGTTGATCTTTTGTATTGTTTTTCTAGTCTATTTATTTCTTCTCTGATCGTTATTTCCTTCCTTCTATAATAATTTTGAGTTTGTTCCTATTCTTCTAGTTCCTTGAGGAGCGATTGTGTTACATTTCTAACCAGCCAGTACTATGCCAGATCTATGATTAGCCCATGCTTGAGTGGTTATTATGTGCCAGAAGCTGTTAGAACACTTACAAGCATTTTAGATCTATCATGCTCACCTTTCCAACAAGGTAGGAATTAATGTCTTCACTTCACAGAAAGTGAAGTAGCCACATTAGAGATTAATTTGTCCAGAATGACAGAGTTAGTAAGTGGGATTTAAACCCTGGTGGTCTGGATCCAGAAAGCACACTCTTATTGTATGTTTTCCTCCATAATTTTTAGAGATTATCTGCATAACTAATGAAGGCAGGAAGAGTAGACTCACACTTTAACCCCACACAAATCTGAGAGCTGAAAATAAGCACCCTTTATTCATATCTAAATCAAAGTAATAAAACTAGAACTGTTTGATGCATTTAAAGATTTCTTTTAAACAATTTTATTTAATTTAAAGACTGAGCACCCACTAACATGCAAACTCTGCATTAATTACCGGAGCTACAAAAACTGGTAACAACGTGCTCTCTTCTTTGATAAAGTCACAAAGGCAGCAAGTAGGTTTGTCTGGTGGGGGTTTGGGGAGGAGAAGACCAGATGGACACATGATCAGACAGACATGTGATAAGAAACAGACAACGGTGTTCTCTGCATCTCTCCTCTATTTTTCTTTCCCATTACTTAAAAGCAGCAAAACACTTTTTTTCCCCCTTCCTCAAACGAGACACATTTAAAAGTTCTTCTCTGGGCAGACAAACTTTGTCCTTTTCAAAACAGATCAACAGCTAATGGAAGCAGAGCACACTGTACAGGGGAAGGACATGCTTGTAGCCCTGTCCTGGGCAAGGCAAATGCATTACATGTAACCAAAATGTTTATACCCCCATAATATCCTGAATTTAAAAAAAAGAACTAGGGAAGCACTGCCATCTTGACACTACAGACACTACTATCAGGCCCTGCAGGAACCAATAACCCCGAGGGCAGCTAGGAAGCCAAAGCTACAGCAGTCACCTGGTGCTCTTCCTCCTTAAAAAAACAAAATTAAAGCATACTTAATCTCAAAGTCTAAACTTACAGAGGAAACGATCTTAACTACTTACTGTCTTCTCACTGTTTGGAATGTCCCCATTTCCCAGCACTTTAGAAAGGCCCAGAGAGGTGGCTTAGCTGAAGTTGTTCCCATAGAAGCAATTTCCAAAATCAGTTTACATTACTGAAAAGATTGGGTTAGGCAACCTACATTGGAATTTTCTAGTAGGATCTCTCAGTTTCTAGCAAGTTGAGTGAACAAAGAACCTGGAAACAGGGTTATGTTTTGTTTTCAACCACTGAGGCACAAGGTTTACGTTTACCTTCTAGTGGGTCTTCATCTTGGTTTTCAACCAGAGCTGTGGTTTCCTACAACAACAAAATCACTATCTTAAGAGAAAATTTTACTTAAGAGAAAAATCTTACTTAAAGGTTTAATATCAATATACACTTTCTTGGGAAAAAAACTCTAGCTCTCAAAAAAATTTAGAACAAGCCGGGCGCGGTGGCTCACGCCTGTAATCCTAGCACTCTGGGAGGCTGAGGCGGGAGGATTGTTTGAGCTCAAGAGTTCGAAACTAGCCTGAGCAAGAGCGAGACCCCATCTCTACTAAAAATAGAAAGAAATTGGACAACTAAAAATATATAGAAAAAATTAGCCGGGCATGGTGGCGCATGCCTGTAGTCCCAGCTACTCGGGAGGCTGAGGCAGAAGGATCGCTT